CTTCCTTCCTTCCTTCCTTCCTTCCTTCCTTCCTTCCTTCCTTCCTTCCTTCCTTCCTTTTCTTTCCTTCTTTCTTTCCTTCCTTCCTTCCCTCCTGGAACTTCTGTGGCTTCTGCCTTTGGCTGGGGAGGAATTAGTTTTCATAGAGAGTCTGTCTTTTTTGAGCCCATCGTTGTAGAAGAAGGCAAAGGGCCCACTGCTCTTTCTAAAATAATTCTGAGGGTACAGGCCACGACTCGGAAAGGATTCCCATGGGCTAAATACACACTCATTAAAAAATAAATAAAAAAATAAAAACCCAAACAAACAAGTTATAATTCTGAACTGTGGAAGGTCAGTCTGGTCCTAGCGAATGGTTTGTAGGAATACAAGTTGCACTCCACAGTCCATTGGGAGCGTTCAAGTGCACGACGATGTTTGCAGAACCCGCGGAAAAAAAAACAACCCCGCATGCTTGAACATTCTGATGAACCTGAATTCTAGTTCCCTTATAGCTCTCGCGTGGGTCTTAAGGATGTCAGGGAGCTGCCGATGCGGGTCGAAGTGGTGCAAGAAAAGAAGTCGGGATAGTGGGAGGGGGAGCCGCAAATGGCAGGCACACTTACTTAAGAATAGAGTATAAGTTCCACTGAACTGCTTGCGACTCCTTCTCGGAGAAACAGGCTTCGGATCGGGCAGAGAAAATGTCGTTTCAAAGAGATATTCGGCGCGAAAGGGGGTGCAGGGAGCCAGGCATCTTCATCCACAAACGGTGGAATTAGAAGCCAGGTTCTGTGCATTACCTAGGTCCTCACTTGCCAGAAAACGTGCATCGGAACGAAGAGCAGGGAAAGACGTGTGAAAAGAAAGAGGCGAGACAAGGTGCAAAAGGGGGAACCCAGGGGGAAACGCGTTGCAGGCCAGAAGAAAGAAATAGAGGAGCCGGAAAGAGGGAAGAAGAGATAGAGAGAGCAAAGACGAGAAAGAGGAAGGAAGGAAGGAAGGAAGGAAGGAAGGAAGGAAGGAAGGAAGAGTCGAAGAGGAAGAGAGGGGGGAATGGGAGGAAGGAAGGAAGGAAGGAAGGAAGGCCAGCCACATCGGGCAGACGCCGGAGGCGCGGGGGGCCTTGGCTGAGATCCGCGTGCGCGTCAGTGTCACCCACCTGCGTCGTCCGGCCGCGTCTGGCTGCCCGTGCCGCTCCCGGTCCCGGTCCCGCCGCCGCTCCCGCCGCCGCCGTGGTAAGACTGGAGGTAAGGGCTGTGCTGCGAGTGGCTCACGTAGGGATAGGCGGCCGCGGCTGCGGCGGCAGCTGCAGCGAGCGAGCGGTGACTATAGGAGTTGGCGCCGGCCGGGCCGGCCGTGTAAGGCGCGGCGTGGTGGTGGTGGTGGTGGTGGTGCGGGTGTGGATGTTGGTGGTGCGGATGCGAATGCGAGGCCGGCGCCGCCGAGTGCAGGCAATGGAGCGGATAGTGGGCGCCCGCCATGGCTGCCGCCGGCGAGGTCTGCTGTTGTTGCTGCTGCTGCTGCTGCTGCTGCTGCTGCTGCTGCTGCTGCTGCGCTGAGTGTGAGGAGCCGCCGGGCGCCTGTGCCACTGGAGGCGGCGGCGGCGGCGGCGGCGGCGGCGGTTGGGGAGGCTGCTGAGGCGCCGGCGGCGGCGGCGGCGGCTGCTGCCCGAACTCCATGAAGGCAGATTTGGACGAGTCCTGAGCTTCCAGCCCGTCAGCCATCGTAGTCATGGTCATCATCCAAGTTGGGCAGCCAGCGACGAGCGCCTCTGCCCGGCTCGGCGCCCCCTTGCGCTCCCGCCACCTTCAAGGGAGCCTATTAGCCTGCGCCGGGCGGGAATTAGCGCCGGGGCTCGCTCGCTATATTTCCCCCCCTTTCCCTCCTTTTTTCCTTTCTCTCTCCCCCCCTCTCTTTTGGCGAGTGTGTGTGTGTGTGTGTGTGTGTGTGTGTGTATCTTGGGTGGGGGGGTTGAGGTGGGAGAAAGGAGAGCGCGTGCGAGAGCAATAGGGGGAGAGGGGCCTTGTTAACTGAGGGAGGGGCGGAGGGGAGGCGTGTGCGAGGCGCTGAGGAGGGAGAGAAAGAAGGAGAGGGAGAGGAAGTGAAGCTGGGAAGGAGGGAGCAGGAAGAGAGGGACGCGCTGCCAAGTCCTCTTTCCTGGGGCTTCCCTCCTCTCCTCTCTTGCCCTCTAGCCAGCAACTTGGGGTTTTCCCCCTTCTCTCTCCCTCCGTCGCCCTGGTTCTTTTCTGATTTGGGGGTCTGTTTCTACGTCCTTGAATCTCTGTGCTTAAAGCTGGTGGAGTTTAAGGCAGATATTTCTTTTCTTTTCTTTCTTCTTTTTAAAGGTGGATTTATTCTCTTAAAGTTGAGCTTCGGTTTATAGGCTTCAGACAAGAGAACGGGAGGGAGGGAAAACGGAATGCAACATGCGCGCGCGCTCGAGCGCACACACCCTCCAAATAAATAAATAAATAAACGCCCAAGTCGAATGGTTTGTCTCCAAAGGGCAGCGGCTCCTCATTGGTCACTCAACCCCTGACGTCACCAAGCCCGGGCACTTCTACTGGCGTCTGCGCCAGCCCACCTTCTGTACAACTTCAAAGCTTTGAGCCAGCTAGAAGCAGCCAGCCATCCAGCCAGCTAACCAACCAATAGTCTCTATGTGTGTGTGTGTGTGTGTGTGTGTGCGTGCGTGCGTGCGTGCGTGCGTGTCCGCGCGCGTGTGGCTGTTTCACCGCACCATCACCGCAACAAAGCTACGCTCTCAAACAGCACTCTCGCCTAGAAAATCGGGTTCCTATTCAGTAAATATACCACGATTTGCCCTTCCATGTTTCTGCCTGAGTATGTCTGTGTACAGGTACAATTCCATCCTCAGGTATCACTCTGCCATTCCGTTATACCTCACCTTATGCGTGTGCGTTACAACCCGCAATAGCATATAATATGTCCTTTCCAGAAGCAAAGCACAGTGACCTTTATACGATTAATGTGGCCATTGCACCGTAGTAGCCCTAATTTTACACAAAATTGATAACGTGAAGTGGGGTGTTTCAAGAACATGTCGTCACGGGAAGCGTTCAATAAAAAGGACCTCAAATGTTGGAGGGTTCTCCTTCATCTGCACAATAGCTTTTATATTTAAGCATCTTGATCCGAAGGCGAATCCTTAGAGATCTGCCAGTAATACATTTTTCCCCTATTGAAAACAGAAGCTCCTGTAATACTTTCAAATATATGCAAATGAGACATGCGGTTAGTGGTTTGGCAAATCTTGATTGCAATATAAACTACCCGAGGAAAAGTGCCTTCGCCCTAAGTTTGCCTTTCGATTACAATTCCAGTTGATTTTATTTTATTGTCAACATTGTTAATGATAAAAATAGAGTCACTTTGCAGTTATTTTTACTTTCCGAAAGGAGGCAATTAGACTTCTAATCAGGAATACACACACAAAAAAGAGGGGGAAAATCTCCCATGATTAACTGCACTACTTTGTTCAAATTGCAGCTATAAAATTCAGAACAATTTGCCTGTAATGATTATGGACTGGGTTTATTTTGGGAGGTGAAATAAAAGTGGATATAGCATAAATTATCCTCTAATTATACACCAGTGTCGCCTCAATTATCCTCTTATCAAAATGGTTGTCTAACTGCCGCATTTAGTTTCAATTCTCTCCCATTTTTTCTATAAAAAGAACTTCATACCTTGTTATTATTAATCCATTTATTATTTGCAAGGAGATTTATAGCTGAACAGCCAGGTGGTATTGCCACATCTCTCGCAAAGATGGACTGGAAAAAGACAGGATCTGGGAACCGACTCTGCACTGGATCTCTGGCGATCTCTTTCAGGACAAGTCAGCCGTTCCCCGGAGTTATTTTGTTCTCTTGTTCGGCTTTGTTTTAATCTGGCGTCCACTAAGGCTAAAAGAATTTAGGATCTTTGGCGATTTACAGACGAGCCAGGTAGGAAAATGGAGCGTTGGAGAAAGCCAGAGAAAACCGAAGACGGAAGGAAAGCGGGGCTCGCAATATTGTAGAATAAATAGTTCTGAAAAACGGAGAGGAGGAGAGAAAATGCTCAGGTCAAGAAAATGCATGCTACCACTTTGTAGATAAATTATCCTTCGCCTCCCCCCCCCCAATGTAAAATACATTTTGGGGGGTTTGGCATTTATAAAGGGCAGGTCCCTTTTTTCTTCCCTCTCGTTCTCTTTTCTGGTCTTATATTTTGCTGACTAACACAAGCCTTAAAAGCAAAGCTCTAAAAAAGCTGTACTTTTGCACTCTGGTTGTGTAAACAGGGTTCGGTGTGAATTGTAGTTGGCAAAGCAAGGTCCTGACTCGGTTGCAGGACATTTTGTCCGTGGGACAACCAACGCGGCGTGTCTCTTTCAGAGTGTATGGATTCTCCCCCTCCCCCCTTTTCCCCCCTTCTTCATCCCACTGCTTTCCTTTCTCGCCGTTTAACTCCTCGAGCTTCTGGGGTCGGTTCAGTAACTCTGAATGCAGTCCTGAGTGCCTTGCCTTGTCTTCGCCTTTTTTCTTTTTCTTTTTTAACAAGGGTTCCACTCTTAACACGGAGAAGGGGGGTAACTCGAGCCGCACCTTTACAAATCTACAATAACTTTTAAAAATGCACCGACTTCTATAGGAGGAAAAAGCGTGAAAGTATAGAAGGGGGGCGGGCTGCAGCGTGTTCGGGGGAGAGACGTTAAGTACAGTGTCTCCAAGAGTTTCCTAAGACGTTTTATTTTGTAGGGTGTAACTAGCGTACAGGTAGATTTGGCAGGTTTATTGCTTTATACCCCGAAGCTGCTTGTTAACAAAGATCAAGACAGCGGGGCTTTGCAGGTGCAGGGAACCTGATGCATTCTCCACGCTTTGCATAAGAACGCCCGCGCTGAGCCAAAGGGGAGCCGGCGACCGCTTAAGGAACGGGTCGATCTAGCCCCTTTCCTCGCCTTTTATCGCCGCTTCTGACATTTGGGGGGTTTGTTTCTTTTCCTACGATCCTCTTACCCGGGAATAAATATTACCGAATTCGGTGACACCCCATTCTGAGGAATTAGACGTCGTTTTAAAATGAGGAATTTGGTATGTGAGAATGTATCGATAAGGACGCTTCCACGGAAATAAATAGGAAAAAATAATATATATGGGTAACGGTGGTGGGAGAGGGTCGCACATGAGAACTGCCGGAATCAAAAGCTGGAGTAATTAGTTTTGCATTAAATCCTTCTGCTTCCTCACTCTCCTCCTTTTATTCTTTTCCTCCTCTCCCTGTTCTTCTTCTCCACCATGAAATTCCTATGGAAACTATTTGCCATGTGGATTTGGAATTTATATGAAATGTATAACTTCTGTTTATGTATGCCTACTTCCACGTGCATAAATTTAAAAACAGCCTTTGTTTTAAAGTATAACTGTCTCTGATATCTTTGTGCATGTCCCCACCTATTATCCATAACGTTATTTCAACTAAAAGTCCAAAATGTTTTTAGTATAAACATATGCCAGTGTGCCAGTTCCATAAGATTAATTGAAGTGAACAGTTCTGTGCATCTAAAAGGCTTGTCTTCCTGCTCATGTAATAAATAAAAGCCTTTTCTTTAATTTGTATATCTCGCTTCCTGTACTTGGGAAGGGATATCAAAGATAGCACAAAGAAAAACTCACTAATGTATATCAGAGAGCAAGTTTTGTAGCGAGATTAGCATGAAGCTCTTAATGTTTCACTCCCCCCACTTAACAGCTATATAAGATGACAGACCACAGATCTGATCCAACATGATCAATAGGGAATTTTTTTATACCAAAATTTGTCTGTTGCAGATCGAACATCTATTTTCTAAATCTAAGTATAAAATAGACCCCCTTTCTATCTCTTGCTAACCTATTTTTAGGTCTCCCAAATTTTTAGCATCAAACCCAGTTGAATATCAGAAATATAATACTGCCAATTTCCACCAATTTAATTAGCCAAATCTATCTGATTGGGGCTCTTCGTTGGCTGGGGTTAATGACTCTTGAATTGGAAAAATCTCATTGTTGGCAGTAAAAATTTATTGAGTTCATTTATTGTGGTGCAGGAGTCCTTCTCTTCCCCATCTTTCCCTCTCTTCCAATGGTTTAACCTCTTAGCTGACCTCTTCATTTTCCTTACAAACCCTGGTGGTATCTCTGGTTCTGGACTTGCTATCCATGCAATCTTCTTTCTACAAGGGGCCTTTCCCCCAGAGAGGCCTATTGAGGAGGAAACTTCAACTCACTTGCTGTGGAGGTGAAGCTCTTTTAATCCCTCTTAAAATGCAAGACTTCAGGCTTTGACACGAACAGGTGAGATGGAAAGAGTGGAGAAGCCCCATTTTCTTTCCATTTCTTTGACTTTAGAATAAATGCTGTTTCTCATCCCTTTGTTCCACCCCTTCCTTTATTTTATCCTTCCATATCTAATAAATGTAAAGGGAGTAAGGCCAGTGGTGGTCTTGCAGCTATTTCTAAACCAGTAATTTGTAGTGTCTTTAAAGCTATCCTTGTGATGACGTAAAGCCTTTCTTCATTATTACTAAACAATTACAGTGAGAGCTGAAAGTTACTATAAACCACAAGTGAGTTGTGCAAAGGATATTTTCAGGTGAAGAGAGTGTTCCTGTTTCACCATATCCTCAGCCCAGTAGGTTCCTTTGAAGTATGAGACTCTATTGAAAATTAAACCCATGGAAATTAACTTTAGT